TCCATTGCTGTGCTGTGTGAGCGCAATTCACACCGGGAGTTTCCCTGAGTCTCCTCGTCCGCCGGATGAATGCATATATACTGGCAGCCGCTACAGCAGCTTGAGCGGGATAACTCTACTCACAGGGCTGGGATATGAGAGTGGAAGAACAAACTTTGATGAGACTGGCCCTGCGATTTTCGCGCCGCGTACTGCTGCGCTAGGCACTAGTGATCAGCAAGCGAACTGTTGCATCCATAATGCAGCGACCTCGCCTCCTCGTCTTCTCTTTGCCGTGTGAAACGTTTCCTGAAAATACACACCGGTCTGACCACCGCGAATCAGTCCTGATCCCGCGTAATCCCACTCGCTTGCCCAAAAGGCTGATCCTGGAGCTCGCTTTAAGGACAAGGAAAAAAGAAAAAAATGCCCCCTCCCCCCACTTTTGCTGCTGAAAAGTACGCATAAGTTGCACAAACTGCATCAGTTTGTTTAACAGTTCGCCTAAAAAGCTCATTTCCAGGCCTACGAACCGTTCAGGATGCCCAGCACTGCAACAGCACCTTTCACAAAGGCACTGCGTGCTTCCCTGTCCAGAAAACCAGTGCTGATGAGTTAAACTTTATTTGGACTGCAGCAAGCACACTCACTGTGTAATCTTCCAAATCCATGCGGTGCTTGCAAACCACAAAAAAACCCCTCGCGCTGCTGGCCCGTCCCACCTAAGGCAGAAGGGGCTGTGATAAAGAGCCCGTGTACAAGGAAGAACGCGACGAGCGGGAAACGGAGGGGCACCGCCCACCCCATATACTCGCAACTAGCACCCTCCCTCCCCCGTTCACGAATCCAGAGAAAACGCACTGCACTCTCCGCCCTCTATGAAATCACACACGTCTCAACTTCCACAGAACATAAATTGCATTAGTGGCGGAAGTTTAAATTTGTTTGTGCATATAAATGGGCATTTATTATATATGTACATAATGCATATGTATGTATACGTATGAATGAGAGTGTATGTGTCTGTGTGCGTTTCTGGATATGTACGAATGTATAGACACATGAGTGTGTGAATGTATATGCGACTGCGACTGTGTGTGTGTTTGCGAGTGTGTATGCGCTATGTACATATATGTGTACATTACTTGTACATGGAACCAGCAAATTCATCGAATACGAGGATGCATTAAAAATCATTCCCCGGGTTGCAACGCACAGCAGGGTTCCCGGTGCGATCATGCATTTTTGCGCTAAACTTGAAGCAGTCAGATCGTTAACAGTATGAATGGTTGTTGCTTTATGCAAAAGCTCCATAAAATACCAAGATGCAAGCAGTGAAATATTCAGCGCACGGTAGTTGTAATTGTTAATTATGTACATTTGAGTCACACCACATATCACTCCCCGGATATTATCACTTTTGAATTTTTCTCGGTAAAAGCTCATGAGTGATGGGCAAATCTTCTAGTCGAGAAGGAACCTCACTGTTGTCTATCGAAGCTCAAGGTGAGGCGGTGGTGCTCACTCCATACAAATCTTGAAACAGCTAAAGCCTTGCCAAGGGTTTCTATCTCCTTTTGGTCCATTTACAGTGTCTACGCATCATCACGCACGCATATGTGTACCATCGCATTCTGTGTGAGATGGTTGACCTTTCATTAGTATTATATACTGCAGCAAGAAAAATACGGACCAGCTGGGTGTAATAGCTCAGACTCTTTAAGCGGGCGCAGGGCTTCTACCATAACACTCTCCACTTGCTAGTGGAGTGATCCGACTGCTTCTAATCC